CCGCATTATTATTGTAATCTCCAAACCACCAATAAGTCACATGAAAGGACAAAAGCTCTCAACATAGCATTAGAGAATGTTGACAACATGAGAATGCATTGTTCTACCATCTTTACAATGCAACTTGATATAATGTTGACAACATTGGAATGCATCATTCTACCATCTTTACAATGCAACTTGACAGAAACCTCATTTAAACCCAAACTACTAAGTGATTTGGGTTCCTAATCATGCTCTCTTAACAATATTGTACTATTCATTCTTTCTCTGACTCACATATAGACACTCTAAAAATCTAATAATGTCATTCTTCTCTCTGATTACTGACTTTACCACCGGTAGATCCTTTAATCCATCAAGAGGAGTTCCATTTCAGGTACACTATGCAGCTACGAACATCAAGGAACAAATAATCTTCATCCCCATCATCAACTATCAAAAGTGACATACCCTCCGATTAGCGTTGGAGTTTTTAGGACTTATCAATGATAATATTAATATTGCACCTAAGGTATAATAGTCAAATCAAAACTTTTTTAAGAAGTTCATGATTTTATTTATAGTTATGGAATAATAATTGACTTTATGATTTGGAAAAAAAAATGATACTTTTAACAATCATTAAGAGATAAGATCTCAATAAAGTTTGGTAGTATAGCACCTGGACTTTTTAAAATAATAATTATCGAGGGAGGGAGGAGGGGCACTTGAATTTGGGAAAAAATAACTTCGAATTTCTCCTCAAAATCGCTTTGATTAATGTTTATTGTGGAAATTTTGTCGAGCCCAAACCGACCTTTCGCAAAAGAAGTTTAACAGCAGGATGGGCATAAAATATTGGTTATTAGATTTTTATCCATTCAGAACCATCAATGAAGGTAATTGAAGTAAAAGGCTTAGCTTCCGAATCAGTGAGTTCTCTTGACCATGACACTCTCCCTGTGAAGTCAGCTCCAGGTCCTGTGCATTTGTATTGGCCATAGAACACAGTCCTGCAAAAATAAATAAATAAATAAATAAAAATAAATAAAAGGCAAGGAATAACGTAATTAGCGTGCGTACTGACACATATAGATTGCATATTACTACACGTACATAGGCAAATAAGAAATGCTAACATAAACATTTCGGTGATTAAACCGAAATTACTTAAGATATATTAGTGATGACAACATAGCTCGTAGCTCAATGGACTATTTTTTTTTTCGGATAGGGTGTGTCAGTAGAATACAATTCAAGTACTAGAGTTATTTTCGTTAATTATTAATATTTGTTTGGATAAAAAAATGTGCCTATTACCCTATATACATGGCATTGAGGATAATAATTAACCCCATTCAAAGAAATATGGGATGAGGTATTAACCTCTACAAAGTTTCTTCTACTTCTTCTTCTTCTTCTTCTTCTTCTTTTTTTTTTTTTTTTTCCAAGTATGGAGACGAGGCTTTTTCAGCCCACAAACACATCACTAAATTTACAGCGTTTGGTGAATGGCCTTTCTGTGTGCTCTTTTGAGATAGATCAGACGTAGATTTTGTACCAGAGAAACGGGAGAGAGCATTTCTGTCCGCATATACATATATGCAGGTTAGGTTTTGCTCTGATTGTAGTGGCCCCATTTTTGTCTGTCATGCTATGAATAATATTTCGACACTGATGTATTTTAGACTACTTTGTATGTGAATTTATTTATTTATTTTTTTAATAACGTTAAAAACGCACTTCTTACCATACACTGGTATATTCAAATAAATAAATTCTTATAAGACAAAATTTCAAGATTTATATTCAAAAAGTAAAAAAAAATAATAATAAATAAATAAAAAAATAAAAAAATTTGAAACAAATACTTTTGAGATTAATGTAGCATTAATTAATGCAGGAATACCATGACCGACCGATTGCCTTTTTAAGCGTATTTTTGTCACTTAATGTTTCATAGGTCGGAGGGGCGGGAGGCTGCAAGGCCATAGCTGTGTTTTCACAAGCAAATGCTGTAAAGGTTTTGCTTTGGTGCTCTCGGAAAAAAAAAAAAAAAAAAAAAAAAAAAAAAAGAAGAAGAAGAAGAAGAAGAAGAAGAAGAAGAAGACCACCTAATTAACCCTGGGAAAGCAGGCCATGGGAAAAGGGGTGGGACCGTCTAAGGTCCGCCAACTAAGGTCAGAATTGAGTGGGGAAATGGAGGAGTTAAGAATAGTCTCCTATACATTAATCTTCAATTAGATTCCCAAAGAATTTGTTTCCTCGTATGGTTATGGAATGCATGATAAATTCTTAATTAGATTCCCTATCCAAATTGGTTAATGTGTTCCGTCTAAAGTATCTGTTTGATTTAGTAAAACGATGTGGTGTTCTTTGAGAAATCAATGGTTTCTACGAAGAAAAAAATAAAATAGACATTGTTTTTTGATTGAAGGATTCGACTAAAAACTTTATTAATAGAACAGAACCAATTTATAACAAAAAGTTTAGGATTCAATTGAAAAACAGGTAATAAGCAGGCGATTAAACTTAGGTTATCTCAAAATACAAAGGATGGTTTCACTCAAGTTCTTCGTCATCATCGTCATCATATACATAATCCTTGGAGGTTTTTTTGTTTTTTAAATAAAATATTTTTAAAATAACTTTTATATCAATTAAAACTAAATCTATCATTTTCTGAGTTAAGGTATTAGTAAATCACGCTTAATTTATAATCAATTCTAAAAATTATATATATATATATTTTTTAATTTACCAATGGCTCATATCTAATGTATATCTAGTGTAGAAGAGCTTTAAAAAAATAATAATAATAAAATCAAATCTCTAATAAGTAATATGTGGGGAATTCGATATAATGTCTCAAATCACCTTAGTATGTGCGGAATTCAATATCATGTTTCAAATAAATCATGTTAAATCATTTTACTAAGCTTTGGTTTAATCTAGAAAATGGGTATAGAGATAATCAAGTTAGATCTTATCATGATTCTTATATAATATGAGTTTATAACTACCTGATCATCCTGCTTGCAGTCTGGATGTAATTGGAAATACGCATATAAATCAAATCAACTACATAATGAGACAATAAGTTATCGATACACACATCAACATATGCATCAAATCGTCATATCTAATCTAATTAAATGTAATCTAAATCTAAATACGCAAATAAAATAAATGTAATTTTCAATAAGTTGATATTTAGACTAGCCACACGTATAACACATTTAAGAACTAACCGTAAATAATAATCTAATTATTAAAAATTAATAATATGAAATGAAATTTTTTTCCATGTATGTAAATAAATAAATAAATAAAATTTTATAGCATTAATTTATAAATATTTAGGAGAGAAAAAGTAAGAAAAAATAACTCAACAGAAAACTTTCAGTCAAAATTTCTTAGACACTTTCTTTTTGCTTTTACTTAAACCAATTGAAAGCCCATTTATATGTTTTAATTTAATATGTATATTATATATTTTTTATTTACAGCTAAGATCATAACAAGTAAAGAACTTTTTAAATTTTAAATCAACTCTATCATATGTCTCTTAAATTATTTAAAAATTTATGATAGTATAAAAGCTAAATTATATATCATTTACGCCCTTATTATTTTTCAATTAAGCTTTTACTAATAAAATTATGAAATCATGTAATATTTCTTTCAAAATCAACAACATTAAAAAATTAAATTTAATGTGTATTGAGAAGGTAATATATTGTATATACATATTTTAAAATTATTTTTTTTTAAATTATATTTCATTGGAATTTTATTAGATTTGATTAAACCATTTTTTTAATATATAAAATTACCATATGACTTAATTTATAGTGTTTATTTAAAAAAACCATAAGAAATTAAGAATTTAAATTGAATATCCATTGGGAATGGAGAATATATAATATATTCTCATTTTGAATTGCTTGTTTGTGTGTGCGTGTGTATGTTTTTTTTTCTTCGTCATTTTAGTCGGGGATACGACTTTTCATAATTCAATGCCAATCGATAAATAACTCTAAAAATGATTAATTAGATTGGATGAGTATGTTTAAGTGAGTAGGTATAATATAAAATAAACTCTAAATAATAACAAAATAAATTAATTGCAGTAGGCTTGCAGACAAATTTTTTATATTTGGTTCTTAAATAAAATAAAATTCAAATTAAGGCTTATTTATTTATTTATTATTATTTTTATTGAGATGAGATATGATACTATTATAACATGGGTAATAGAAAAAAGATAATAAAAATAAACATTATTATTTAAGTATTGATATGTTAAAATTACTAAATATTTACTTGTTTATAAATAATTAAGCTATCGAAATTGTCCAAACTTTATCCCGACCGTATCGTGGATATACAACTAGTATGTACAGGATTTTACGAACCAAAAATATAATTTTTTTATTTATTAAAATAGTTGCTAACATATAAAATGTGGGAATTTATAACAGTGATATAGTATTCAATTTGAAAAGCCAAAAATCAATAATAACAAGTAACATCTACTGCAGCAAAATTGATTTTTAATATCATGTTTTTCAACCACCTACTAAAATAAATGCTATATATTATAGACATTTTTTATGATGAAATTTCACAATCAGCAACATTATATATCTGAGCTATCCTCATGCTAAACTATAGAGTTAATCATAATATATCATTATAGGCATAAAAAATAATCATATTATCGGATTTATTGATCTGGAGTGTTACTTACTAACAGTTTATTATTATTATTTTTTTGACATAAATGATTTTTACATCCAATTAATATCGGTAAAAATCAATCATTTTTTTTTAATTAGAATGCAGGTATAGACCTCAAACTTAATCATTGTATAAATGCTAATTAATTAAGTATTGGTTAGTAAAAGAGGTTTGTGAGAACAAAAATTTTCAGGCAGCATGAAAATTTCTACCAATATCCTCACTGAATTTTAAGCGGAAATGCAGATATGAGAGAGAGAGAGAGAGAGAGAGATTTACAATTCGCGGTTAGGATCTCCCCAGTTATACCAGCCTTTGGGAATGATAATGTTGTCCATGTAAGTATAAGCAAAGACCACGCGAGAAAAGGAACCCCATGCCCTTCCAAGGTAAAGAGCACCTGATCCCGTCACCTTACAGTTCACAAATGAGAACCCAGTGTCTTCTAGAAGACTACTCCTGCCTTGTGCTGTCACGGCTCCACTCAATTCAGCAATTGCATGCACGTGACACCCCTGCAATTAACCTAACTTATTATTTTCAATTAGTCCCTTAATTTTTAAAGCTATATAATAAAGTATTGAATTCATTTTTTATTCAAGAAAAACCCTTCTCTATTTAGTACGCAAGATATTGTTTTTTGAAAATTTTCTTTTCTTTTCTATTTAAAAGCATATATATATAAAAAAAAGATTTTTATTCTAATGATTAAAATATTTTCACCCTTTTCATTTACTGTTCATTTATTGTATTTTCATTCATTGTCGCATTTATTTGATATGAAAGTTGATAAAAAAAATCATATAATATTTTTAATGCCCATTTTATAATATTAATTTCTTGCTTTCAATTTGAATAAATAATGATGTGATTGTATATTTTTCAAATGAAGGGATCAGATTGTACTTAATATAAATCATTAAAGATTGCGAAAGCAAGGAAATAAAAAATAGAAGATGGTAAAATTTCGACTTAATGGCTGCTGAGCTCTCTCTTTATTTTATTTGTTTATTTATTAATCATGTTTCTCTACTTTTGTTTTTTTTTTCCTCAAGTTCATCCATTTATATTTATTTTTTGTCTTAGTTTTGTCTCTTAACTTTTAAACCAACGGAGTGAACTTTATTTTTTTTTATTTTTTATTTTTTGTCTTAATGTCATCCCTCTACTTTATTTTTTATCTCAATGTTATTTTTTTATATTGAAAAATAATAAAATTTGGAAAATAAATAACTAGAAAAAAAATTGAATATATATTCATTCATTCTCTCTTAAAATTTGAAAAAAAAAAACTTAAAAAAAAAGAGATGAAGTTAAAATGTTTTTTTAATTTAAAATATCTTTTATAGGTTTCAATTTATCTCTATGATAGTAATCAAATTTGAAGTATAAAATTAAATATATATAGTATTTTTTTTGTTTAAAAAAATATTTTTGTATTATGTAATAAATTTTTGAGTAAATTATATCTTCATCTTGAGAAAAAAAAATTCTTAGGTTCACCTATTTTTTTTTTTTTTTCATTTTCACTTCTATAGAGAATAACGATATACATCTTCTTTTTTTTTTCAATTTTTTTTCAAAATTAATTTATTTAAATTATGTATGGAAAAAAAGCTACATTACGATGTGATAATAGTAGAAATAGTGATTTATCTTTATTTTTTTAATGGGAACAAAATTGCTTTTTTTTTTTTTCAAAATAACAATAGTAATTATAAAAGACAATTGCAAGTAATTAATCAGTAATGAATGAATCTAACCTCAAATAGGGACAAGCCATTGCCAAATATGAAATCCACAGAACCTTCAATGTAACAATCCTTGTAATAATGCCTGCCCACATGATCATAGAGGGTGTCCTGCGCTCCCAAAAATTTGCACCCCAAGAAAGCCGCTGTATCTGCCGATATTCTAAATGCAACCGCTTGCTTTCCCATGGCTCCTGGTGCCGGGAGTGGTGTCGTATTCTGCAGCACATTTTCTCTTACAAATAAGGGACATTCAGAGCAAATACAAATATACAGTAGCACAATTGTAGCTAGTTTCACAGCATAATATATATTACCTTGAATGTGATGTTCTTGGCAACAAAATATGGGGCATTCACAGCAAAAGTAGCAGAACTGTAGGTTCCCAAAGGTTGTCCTCTAGCCCCTGGTGTTTGAGCAGTGTCCCCCCATTGAACAATTGTTTTATCTGCTCCAGCTCCTTCTATTGTTATGAAGGATTTTAATGGAGATATAATCACCTTTTCTCTGTAGAAGCGTACGTAGTATATATCTTTGATAAATTGTCATTATTTTCAAGGGGAGTTTTAACAAACAAAAACTGATTACAATGCCTAATTGGTCTGACAAAACTTATTTAACTGGACAATACCTTTATCAGAAAAAAATTGAATTAATTAGTATCAGATAAATTCATTGGTGGAACCCATCAATTCAATGTATGAGGTTTCATTATAAGTAATTCCCGGTAGAGTAGGTCATTTTGTACGTAAACACCTTAAATTTTTTCAATATAAAATAGTTACCACTTTATATACATATAATTTTCGTAGAGGGAAAGGGAACCGGAAAAGGGCAAAGAAACAAGCAAAAACAAGGATTAGTTTCCTATGCAGGACTCCGTAAGATATAACAACTCAAAGTTAAAGAACATAGATAGGCAAACTCCAGGAATGACTGAGCAGAACCAGACCGATTTGCTGAACACCGAGAACATCAGGACAAGATACAAATAAGAAATTATATAACCCATTAAAAGTAGGCCAAAAATGATAAAGACTCACGTGTAAACTCCAGCACGGACCTTTATGATCACCCTCACAAGATTGATAAAGGGAAGAGAATCAATGGCCTCTTGAATTGTTGTGAAGTCTCCGGCGGATGGATTCTTAGAGACAATGAGAGTGTAAGAAGGGAATATCTTATTCTTTGCTGCTTTGAAAAGTGAGTGTTTAAGGCTACCAACAAACTTTACCCACTTCATGAATTGCTGTTCAGAGAATTGAACTCTGGTCGCATTTATTATCGGTTGGATTCCTGGAGAGTTTCTTGGTCTAAATCCTTTGCTGTGGCTTAGCGTTTGGCCAGAATTGAGGAGGAGAAGAATGATAACGAAAACGTAGAAAAAGTTGTGTTGACAGTTTGACATTGTTCTAAATGAGAATGAGAAAGCTAGTGTGAGCACGAAAGCAATACTGATGCTGGCTGTGGCTGGGATGGGTGGTGCTAATTGGTTTATATATGTACGTTTTTTTTTAATTAAAAAAAAAGGTGAAAGATTAGTAGGCTAATGTTTTTATAATACCCACTAATATTTGCATGAATTATGATATATGGAAATAATAATGTTAATTTTCTTAGTGTATTACTAGAGATGGATTGTTGGTAAGTTTAAAAAATCTAAATTTTGAAATAAATTAAAAATTAGGTGTGGCTAGACATTAATATAGCTTAAAAAAATTGATAAATTTAGTTCTATTAATATAAAAATTAATTCAAAAATATCTCACTATATATAAACATTAAAATAATAAAAATCAATTATAAAAAAATATCAATATGAAATTTATAAAATTCATTAATAAAATTTACTTAGTTGATATTTTTTTTTAACTAAATGAAATCTGTAAGACTATTATATAGGATTTACATTACCTATTACTTAGGTCGGAATGGAGTTTAGATATTTCCGGCGATTAGATCACAAGACAGTTAGTTGCTAAGAAGTAAAGACTATGACACTATAACTTGAAACTAATCTCATTTGTTAAGATGCAGAGCGTGTTATCTATATTACTATAATATTTTGTATGCAGTGTACCGCTTGTTTTATTATAGGTGAAAAGTGATGTCGACAATCATACACATGAGGCGAGAGATCACGGGCGCTTCCACTGTCCTCCATGTGGAAGAGAGAGAGATAGAGTGAAATGAGCAAACAATCTAGGCCACAAAAGTTGCACCTATTGTTTTAATAAGCATTTCATTGTTTCTTTTTCCTACTTTTGTTGTTGTTTTTGTTCTCGTGACTCTCTCCTTCTGTTTGTGTGTGAAGGTGAATATTCGTGAAGAGATGATGGGCTTTGTTTCCTTGCTCCCTCTTAGTCCTATGGGACTGTTCTGTACCTACCTTTGTATCATGTCACTGGCCACTAATAAGACCTAGTTAATTAGACTAAAAAATAAGTAAGATTGGCATATTGTCGTAACTTGAGCACTTTGTATGATTCAGATCAATCGGACTGCCATAAAAAAATGGAAACACTGGGAAAGGCGTTGCGCCAAGATGACTTTCTAAAAGGGTTAACCATCCGTAATATCTCTATACAACTCTATGTAATTTTTTTTTGGTCTATATATGGAATCAATTTGTTTAATATGAATCTTTCGTTTGTGATTTAGCTAGCAACGTTAAATTAATTGCATATTCCTACAACACTATTATACCCAAATTTAATTAGGGCTTATCAACCTAATTAAATTAGCTAAAGCCTAATGATGCTTTGGCCATACACTACAACAAAAAGATAGATTTGCGACTAATATTTAACGATAGTAAAAAAACCGTTGCTAATTTTAAAAATTTACAATGGTTTTAAGCGATTTAGTGACGGCACAAAAAACGATTATTAAAATTCTTATTTGCGACTATTTTTTTGCAACGGTCTAACCAAACCATTGCTAACTTGACGAGTTTAATTTTTTTTGTAGATGCGGACCGTTTTTGCGACGGTCTAGGAAGCTGTCGCTAAATCGTTGCTAAGGTCACATAACCTAAAAAAAAGAGGATGATTAGAATCGTTTTTTTAATAAAAAACCGTTGCAAAAAACAATTCGGTCTAGTGACGACCCAAGACCGTCGCTAAACCGTTTCTAAAAAAAAATTAGATTAGCAATGGTTTTTTTAATAAAAAATCATTGCAAAAGCAATTTTGGTTTAGCGACAATCTATGGACCATCACTAAACTGTTTCTAAAATCAAAGGAATTGAAAAAAAAATTTACGATTAGTAATGGTTTTTTAATAAAAAATCGTTGCAAAAAAATTCGGTTTAGCAACGGTACGTCGATCGTCGCTAAATCGTTTCTAAAAGCGAGAAGAATTGAAAAAGAAAATTTTTGATTAGCAACGTTTTTTTTAATAAAAAGCCGTTACAAAATAACTAGGTTTAGCAACGGTCGCTAAACCCTTGCTAAAAAAATAATAAAAAATAAAAAAATATTAAAATCAATTTTTGCAATAGTTTTTTTCAAAAATAACCATTGCAAAAAATCATATTAGCAATGGTCTTTAGACCGTCGGTAAAATCAAACCGTTGATGGGAAATGACTAATTTTTGAAATTTCTATTTTCAAAGCACTATTAGCGATGAGTTTAATGACGGACGGTAGATTGTCGCTAAGCCTTTACCTTTCAAGACCTACCTTCTCCATCGAGAATTGGCGGTTTCAATTCTCTCTCCACCTCCTCTCTTCATCTCCTCCGGCGACACCTTAGATCCGCCACCTCTGTCATTTTCTTTGTCCAATCTTCTCCTCTCTTTTCAACTACCATTTCTCCCCTCCAAAAATCCCCCTTTCTTCCCTCTTTTCCTCTTCATTTCTTTCTTTCTCTCCATCTCTCCACCGGCCGTTTTCTCCGCCAAACATCTCCAACGAAGGCTTCCATCGGCGCAGCCCCATCTCCTCCTTCTCTTGGTGAAAGGTCCACCCCTATCTAGCCCCTCATTTTATTTTTTAATTTTTTCAGTTATTTAGTTAATTAATATAATTTAATTAAAAATTAACCATTAAATTTTGTTTAATTATTTATAATTGTTTATTGCATGTGTTGTTTTTTTATTAATTCATGATTTAATTAATATTATTGTAATGTGTTAATTTAGATAGTTTATTTGTTTTAAAAAATTTATTGCTATTAATTAGTGTTAATTGTGATAGTTAATTTAAATATTTAATTGTTAATTTAATATTAATTGTTAATTTTTTTGATAATTTAATTGTTAATTATTGATTTATTGAATATTATTGTTAATTGTTAATTTTATTGGTCACTGTTATTTTTATTTGTTGATTGAACTAATTTGATTGTTAATTGTGAATTTACTTAGTTTAATTGTTAATTGTTTTAGTTTGAAAATTTAATTGTTGTTTTTTTATGTTGTTAATTTAATTATTATTGTTATTAGTGTTATTGGTAATTGCTAATTTAGTTAACTTATTGTGATTAAGTGATTAAAAGATTAATAAGTGATTAAGGTTATTTAGTGGTTCATTAAGTTAAGGTGTTAATTAAGTAATTACAAAATTAATCAATAAATTAAATATTAATTAAATTATAATATATTGTTATTTGGTAAATTTTAAATTTATTAGTAATTAAGCTTATTTAGTTGTTCATTAAGTTAAATAGTTAAGTAATTACAATATTAATTAAGAAGAAAAAAATTAAGTTTTTTTTGAAATTATATTCAATAGATAAAAAATTAAGTTATTAGAAATATTTTAAATCTTAGTAATTAAAAAAATAAGTTTTATTAAAAAACATTAATATATACTTGTTGAATATAGATTTAGTATGTTATTAAAAAAATTAATAAGTGATTAAGGTTATTTAGTGATTCATTAAGTTAAGGTGTTAATTAAGTAATTACATAATTAATCAATAAATTAAATATTAATTAAATTGTAATATATTTTTATTTATTAAATTTAAATTTATTCGTAATTAAGCTTATTTAGTTGTTCATTAAGTTAAATAGTTAAGTAATTACAATATTAATTAAGAAGAAAAAAATTAAGTTTTTTTGAAATTGTATTCAATAGATAAAAAATTAAGTTATTAGAAATATTTTAAATGCTTAGTAATTAAAAAAATAAGTTGTATTAAAAAAATTAATATATACTTGTTGAACATAGATTTAGTATGTTATTAAAAAAATTAATAAGTGATTAAGGTTATTTAGTGGTTCATTAAGTTAAGGTGTTAATTAAGTAATTACAAAATTAATCAATAAATTAACTATTAATTAAATTGTAATATATTTTTATTTAGTAAATTTTAAATTTATTAGTAATTAAGCTTATTTAGTTGTTCATTAAGTTAAATAGTTAAGTTATTACACTATTAATTAAGAAGAAAAAGATTAAGTTTTTTGAAATTATATTCAATAGATAAAAAATTAAGTTATTAGAAATATTTTAAATGCTTAGTAATTAAAAAAATAAGTTGTATTAAAAAAATTAATATAGACTTGTTGAATATAGATTTAGTACGTTATTAAAAAAATTAATAAGTGATTAAGGTTATTTATTGGTACATTAAGTTAAGGTGTTAATTAAGTAATTACAAATACAATTAATAAATTAAATTTTAATATAAATTTATTTAGTAAATTTATATTTTATTAGTAATTAAGCTTATTTAGTTGTTCATTAAGTTAAATAGTTAAGTAATTACAATATTAATTAAGAAGAAAAGAATTAAGTTTTTTCGAAATTATAGTTAGTAGATAAAAAATTAAGTTATTAGAAATATTTTAAATTCTTAGTAATTAAAAAATTAAGTTGTATTAAAAAAATTAATATATACTTGTTGAATATAGATTTAGTACACTATTAAAAAACTTAATAAGTGATTAAGGTTATTTAGTGGTTCATTAAGTTAAGTTATTAATTATGTAATTACAAATTTAATTAATTGAATTAAATATTATTTGAATTATAATATATATTTATTAAGTAAATTTAAAATTTATTAGTAATTAAGCTTATTTAGCTATTCATTAACTTAAATAGTTAAGTAATTACAATATTAATTATTTTTGGAAAAAATTAAGTTTTTTCGAAATTATATTAAGTACATAAAAAATTAAGTTATTAGTAATATTTTAAATGTTTACTCATTAAAAAAATAACTAGTATCTAAAAAAAAGATTTATTAATAAAAGTCTTTTAAGTTATTACAAAATTAAGTAGTAAGTTA